AGCCATTCCTCTTGTAACTTTGGAGCCAACAAACGCTTTTAAAACTTCCATGGGATGACTGGCTTGAACTGTTGCCTGACAGCTTCCAAGTCATCAACATGAGATGCTTTTGAGCAGCTACACTGGGAACAGCTTTTCCCACATGAGACATTTTGGAATGGGCTGCCCAGGGAGGTGGTGGAGTCTCCATCCCTGAAGGTGTTTAAAGAATGACTGGAAGTGGCACTCAGTGCTCTGGGCTGAGTGACAAGGTGGGAATCAGTCATAGATTGGACTTAATGGGCTTGGAGGTCTTCTCCAACCTAAATGACTCTGTGATTCTGTGATCTCCATCTGAGCAATTTAGTTCACTCAGCAGGGAAAAATGTTCCTACTGATGGTGTAGTTCCTCTCCTCCTGACGGTGTAGTTCCTCTCCTCCTGACATAGCTGCCTGTAGCAGATGAATCCCACTCTTTGCGTCTCTCTCTCCACTGGTTATGATGGGAGTCCAGATGGTGGGATCAGAGGGAGATATTTCACCAGGAATGTTTAAAGTTAAGTCAATGTGTAGCACTTCCAGTGAGTGTCTCATGCCAGGATCAGAACCAGGAGCTGTTCTTGTCTGAATCCTGCAAGAACTGATGTGTCAGAAAGCAGATATTTCACTTTGCTCCTTAGGAAACCAAAATGGTTCTACACATGATGTAGAACTCAGGGACATGGTTTACTGGGGGGCTTGGCAGTGCTGGAGTAACAATTGGACTTGATGGTCTTTATGGGTACAAAAGGAAATGGGAGATTTAGGCTGGATATTGGGGAGAAACTCTTCCCTGTGTGGGAGGTGAGGCCCTGGCACAGGTTGCCCAGAAAAGCTGAGGCTGCTCCATCCCTGGAAGTGTCCAAGGCCAGGTTGGACAGGGCTTGGAGCAACCTGGGCTAGTGGAAGGTGTCCCTGCCCATGGCAGGGGGTCGGGACTAGGTGATCTTTGAGGTTCCTTCCAACCCAAACCATTCTATGATTCTATGACCTTAGAGGTCTTTTCTTGCCCATATAATTCCATGATTCTATGATGGACAAGCACCAAATAACACACTTCTTCCAGCAGCAAACACCTTTTCCCTGGCATCAGGAATGCCATAGCCTTCACCCAGTGTCCCCAGACCGGGTTTTTAACTAGGTCACCCTCTGGTACCTGCCCACTTTACAAGCTCCAGGGGTAGTCCCAGCTTGAGTTCAAACATTTGGTCCAAGTACTTGAGTTAAGATGTTACAGCCCATGGGCTTCACCCCTCCAGATGACAGTCCTGTATCACACTCTGAATAACTGCTGGGAGATCCTGTCTTTCCACATTGCCTAGAGAACCCAGCACACACCACCTGACACACAAGCCTTGACTCAGTGGTATGAATCCAGTCCAGCATAACTTTCTCCTTGGTGCCTTAATGATAGATCCATGGATGTAACTGTATTTTTGACATTTCTTGTGCTGGACACCTTAAAAAGTATTTTAGAATTGGTATGTGGAACCCTTGGAAAGGTTTTGTACAAACTATGAATACTGATATCATAGGGCATTACTGCAGAAGGGGAAAATCACCCTGCAGGATTGCTGTTCCTTCCTGACCTGGACAGTAAATCCCAGAGGGATCACTGATACTCTGCTGTCTTTAACCATCAGCATAAGTCTAGGAAAAGAGGATTCAGGAGGATATCAAGTCTTGTGTGAACAGTGGGTGCTTGAAATCATTTGCAATGAAATTTGGCTCATACAAGAGATATTAATTTATGTGCAAAGCCCAGCACTGAGCTCATGCACAATTCCTGCTTTAACCTTCAAATAGCACTTCAAGGTGATATTTGATGATGCAGAAGGGATAGGACTGGCTTGTGGGGAAGATGTGAGGTTCATCAGATACTCCAGATGTGGGAATTCACCTGTTAGTGCAACGCTACCAGAAAAGCTTTAAGTATTTCTGTGAGGGGATCAAGTTTTCATTTTCCTTTTGTGCTGGTTTTGGCTGAGGTAGAGAGAATTTTCTTCACAGTGATTGGAATGGGACTGTGTCTTGGATTCGTGCTGGAAGCACTGTTGATAACACAGGGATGCTTTTGTTATGGCTGAACAGGGCTTGCACAAACTCAAGGCCTTTTCTGGAGGCTGGGGGTGCACAAGGAGTTGGGATGTCACACAGCCAGGACAGCTGATCCCAACTGACCACAAGGACTTTCCAGCCCATGCTCAGCATATAAAACGGGGGTAAGAAGGGGAAGGGGAGTGACATTTGGAATGATGACATTTGGAATGAAGACATTGGTCTTCCCAAGTCACCCTTCTGTGTATTGGGGACCTACTCTCACGGAGCACCTGCCTTTCCATGGGAAGCAGTGAATTAATTCCTTGTTTTGTGTGAATTAATTCCTTATCTCAGCCCAAAAAGTGAGTTCTCTCCCTTTTCCCATTGTCTCTTGGATCCCACCATGGAGGGAGTGAGGGAGTGGCTGTTTGGGGCTGGGTTGTCAGCTGGGGTTAAACCACAACAAATGTACTTTCAAGCCAAAGAAGTTTCAACATTCAGTTTTAAGCTGGTACTTCAGATTCTTGAGGTAGGATTCGTTTACACAATTTTAGGGGTGGATTCAATTTATTTTACATCCATGACGACCCCAGTTGAAGATGTCCTGAAGCATCCCTGGCATTTACAAGGAGTTTCTGATGGCTCTGAACCTACAGGAGATCTGCACCCCTTTAGACCAACACTGGGATGTGACACTGGATTCTCTAGGCCATCTCAACTGGCACTAAATGCTCATGTTTAAACTACACAGACTCTGAGATGTCTGAAAGCACATTTTAGATATGGAAATGTCCACAGAAAAAACATGGAACTGAGAGTAAGATGAGACAAGGTATCAAACTTGGGGACAGTCATGGTTCCACTGAGTTACATCTAGAAAGAGGTAGAGGTGCAGTTCTGTCTGAGATGTCCTTAGAGACCCAAGACCTCCCCATGAGAAGGCTCCAGGGAGACCTTAGAGCCCCTTCCAGTGCTTAAAGGGGCTCCAGGAGAGCTGGAGAGGGACTTTGGACAAGAGTTTGGAGGGACGGGACAAGGGGAATGACTTTAAGATGGAAGAGGGCAGGGTTAGATGGCATATTGGGAAGGAATTCCTGGCTGTGAAAGTGGTGAGGCCTTGGCACAGGTTGCCCAGAGAAACCTCTGCTGCTGCATCCCTGGAAGTGTCCAAGGCCAGGTTGGACAGGGCTTGGATCAACCTGGTATAGTGGAAGGTGTCCCTGTCCATGGCAGGAGGTTGGAACAGGATGATCCCAAAGGTTCCTTCCAACCCAAACAGTTCAAAGATTCCATGAGGCTCACAGATAGGGCTGCCCTTCTTCTAAGGAAGGCCCAGATCCAACCTCTCTGTCTTGTGGATGGGCTTGGACTCTTTCCAGCGTTTCAGCCTTTGTGAGAACAGCTCAGCTGAGTTCCAGCTCTCCACTGACTACTCCACAAAGAGTCCTATTTCTCAGACACCTAAAATTAAGTGTGAACCTCTGCAGCTGAACCCAGTTCTTAATGTGAGTGAAATGAAATCTGATCTGTGGGACTGGCTGGATACGAGTTTAAGAAATTGAGTCTGAAGAATGAAAACAGTATTAATGATTTGATTTTGAACATTGATTATTTCAACATGTCTGCAAACATCTTCACAAACCCAACATGACACTACACACATACTTTTTCACCATACAGTTTAAGGCATTTTGTTTTCACCCTCTCTGTTTTCTTCTCCCTGCAAATTATTGATAAAATGGACTGTTTCCCTAGAGGTTTCCACATGAATGCAGATGAGGTATGGTCAGACTTCTCCTGGCATTAGTTGGGCATTTATTCAGAGATGCATATGTTGCCCCAGGGGAAGAAAAAAAAAAGATACAATCTGATAAAGAAAACATTTCTAACTGAAGTTTGCAGCTCTATTGTGGTTTGTAAAGTCCAACCTCTGCAATAAATGCTTAAGCCTCTTCCAGCTGTTTGCTGCAGCACAAATGGCCAAACTTTTTCTGTGTTAAAGGGAAAATTAGTTTCAATTTTGCTGGTTGTCTGCAAGGGCGAGGCACTGAACAACTGCAAATCCCATCAGCTTTGAAACAGGGCCTCGTGCAAAGTTGTCTGAGGGATCCCAGATGGTTGTAAAGTGCTTAGATGCCATCATTGGCATAGTAAAGGATATCCCAAGGGATTGACTCTATTTCTAAGTTGTTCAATATCACATTCAACCACTTCTCAGATGCCTGATGGGTGAATTAACTCAATTTTTTTATCTACCACTACAGTGAGGAGCACAGTACAAACAGAAGGGGGGGCTGGAAGATCTACTGGAATGACCTTTCTTGGTGTTGAGGTTTTCCAATGAAGTGGGGAATGAGCTCAACCTCTGCTGAAAGTGAAATAGGGAAAATGGGGAATGTTTTTTTTAAATCTCAGATCCTTTTTCTGGATATGGAGAAGGCAGGGCAGGCTAAGGTAGGGGAGGGAGGAAAATGAATGTACATCTCTGTGAACTCTGACCAGACTTTGGCAACAAATCCCAATTCTGTCGTGTTTCCGTGGCTTGGCAAATCTTCCCAGGAAAAATGCTATGCAACGGACAAAAGGCATCCCGAAGTCACTCAGAGATGATGCCCAGCAGAGCCACAGATCATTCAAGCAGCAAACAGCATGGCTTAAAGAGTGGGAACAAGAAGGTGTCACAAACAAAACCGCCTTCCCTTTCCCCAAACCACTTTATCTATTGAAACCACAAAATATTAACGAGTTTACCAGCCCTCCAGAAATGAGGGCAGGCAATTGCAACTTTATAGAATTCAAGATCAAGTTTACCACATTTAACTCAGAAGAAAAGCCAGTTATGATGACTCAACTCACTGGAGATACTGGAATATGTAATGAAAATATACTTTAAAAAAAAAAAAATAAGAAAGAAAGAAAAAAACAGTTTTTAATAAGCAGTTCTAGAAGTCCAAGTCTTCCTGGTCAATATTATCAGAGTTTTCTTTCTTTTTAGAAGCCTGAACTCCATCAGTATTTTCAGCCTCCTTTGGATCTGCACCTTCAGCGTCTGCCGCGTCCTCATCTCCCGCAGCGTCAGTGCCTGAAGAATCTTTGTCCTCATCTTCTTCCTCTTCCTCGCTCTCAGGATACATCTGTGAGGGTTTGGAGCTCTCATCACTTCGAATCTCTCCATTGGGGGGGTCACTCCCAGGGTTGTGGTCATCTTTGCCTTCCTCTTCGTCTTCTCCATCATCTTTATCTTCAGACCCCTTCTGGGACTGCTGCGAGAAGTTTCCTACAGAAGAATAATAAGAAAAGGCGGTGGATGTTTTCAGACTCTCCAGCTTTTTGCTATTTTTCTTGCCTTTGGCCCTTGAGACTTTCTGAGAAACCTTGCTGTTGATTTTGCCTTCGTGTTTTTCATGTGCCTTGTCAGGGTCATCATTGGCAGGTTCCTCCTCATTCTCATCATGTTTCTCACTGTTTTCCTCCTCAGCCTCACCTTCTGACTCTGGTTTTGCATCTTCTACTGCCTCAGCTTCATCCTGCTCAGCTTCTTCATTTCCTTCTGCATCATCTTCTCCAGGATTATTGTCAGTTCCAGAGCCCTTGGCATCCCCTCTGCATTCAGATGTCTCTGCTTCATCATCCTCTGGCTCCTCTGTTTCTTCAGCTTCATTTTCAGCTTCATCTTCACCTTTGGACTTCTCTTCAGCTTCCTGCTCTTCATTTTGAGTTTCTTCTTCTTGTTCTTCCTCTTCCTCATTCACTTCCTCCTCCTCTTCCTTTGTTTCTTCTTCCTCTTTTTCTCCCTCTTCTTCCTCTTTTACCTCTTCTTCCTCCTCCTCTTTTGGGTTTTCTTCCTCTTCCACTTCTTGCTCTTCTTGTTTAGCTTCATCCTCATCTTCCTTTGCTTCCTCATCCTCCTTTGTGCCTTCTTCCTCTTCCTCTTTCCCTTCCGCCTCCTCTTCTTTTGTTTCTTCTTCCTCCTCTTTTTCCTCTTCCTCTTCTTTTCCTTCTTTCTCTTCCTCCTCCTCTTTGGCTTCTTCTTCTTCTTCCTCCTTCACTTCTTCTTCTTCCTCCTTCACTTCTTCTTCCTCCTTCACTTCTTCTTCTTCTTCCTTCTCCTCCTTCCCTTCTTCCTCCTCCTCTTTTGTTTCTTCCTCTTCTTCCTTCCCTTCCTCCTCCTCTTTGGCTTCTTCTTCTTTTTCCTTCACTTCTTCTTCCTCATCTTTGGCTTCTTCCTCTCCCTCCTTCCCTTCCTCCTCCTCCTCTTTTTCTTCTTCCCCTTCCTCTTCCTCCTTCCCTTCCCCCTCCTCCTCTTCCACTTCTTCCTCTTCCTCCTTCCCTTCTTCTTCCTCCTCCTCCTCTTTTGTTTCGTCCTCTTCCTCCTTCCCTTCCTCCTCCTCCTCTTCCTCTT